AAAGTGTACTTAATCAAAATTTTTTTATTGTATATTCATGAATTCATTTTAATTTTTGACCTCCAAAGTATTGGTTTTGGTCCATAATTGGACTAGCATTTTTCTGTCTGTTTTGAACTAGTATGATACTGGTATATTTCTGACCAAAATCTGACAATTGCCATCTCGTAGGACATCCCCATGTTAAAAATACCAGTTGATTGCATGGAAAAAAGATAGTTGGCTGACTAGTTGGGCATGCGGTTCATACTTGTTGTGAGGTAGTTTCCCTGCAGTGAAAAGCCAAACCAGTTGGAAAAAATACTAGTTCATTAACTAGTATGTGCCTACCAGTTGGACAATTTCGAAGAACTCAAGCGTTCAGCGACATCTGCCTTTGAATGGCCAAAGTCAAAAATAAAACGCAATTAATTGCTTTTCTTATAAATGCCGGCTGTGGCGTCACGTGAAGACTCTGGTTCTGAGATCGCAGGTTCGAAGCCGCTTGGATGTGGTTAAGATTTGTAAAGTTAAATTAATATATATAAAAATAATTATTTCAATATAAATGTAGGAATGGCCTTCCCGTTTCATCCTCTTCGTATACAAAAACGCGGCTATTTAGTTTAATAATTTAATATTACATACTGTTTATTTAACAAACGCACATATTACAATTCAACAACTTAACACTAGCAGAACATTGTTCTGCGGTTGATGGCGGCTGACAATGCAATGTCCAGTCTGATCTGTTCATATCATTCTCTTCTCTATCGCCTTTCGTTAAATAGTTTGATAAGTTAGATTCCTCTATTCGTTATGTAGGGCTGCATTTCTATGTTACTAACACTGAATGGCCAATTAGTCCTAGCATCGTAAGTACTGTCCGTAAACTAATCCCACATTCGGCCATCCTGCGTTGCATTCGGCCTCGAATGAAAAACACTACTCTAATTTTAATTTTGCATATTTTGTGAACTTCTCTATGTCAGCCGTTCTCACTCTTCTTCATCATTTGCTTAATGGCGTTTCTTAACCTTCATCTAGCTTTCAACAAAACCTTATACATTTTCTTTAAAATCAGTTCTCTAAAAACTTCTTTATTTTCAATCGGTATTGGCTTCATCCTTGTAGGGAATTACTAATCTCTTTATACTCTTCACTTGTACTAGGTCTCAAAGGGTTATACAAATTAATCGCTTCCCTGCATCTTGTCAGCTGCAGCCAGTCTCTAACGTAGCCTCCGCGCTCAAGAGAATCAGCTTCTATCTAGTGCCTCCACTATGCCTACCTCCAGACATAAAACTTCAACTATGGCTCCCTAGTAGCAACAGAATGCACGCTCACACTCTCGTTGTCCACTTTTACCATAGTCCGCAACATCTCACCGTGCCTACGCAGCCTATTAGTTACACCGGACGCACGCTCACGTCCTCGATGTACACTACCGCTAACACCTTCCGCACCTCGATGTGCTCACACGAGATTATTTCCCCGGCCCTCCAGCCGCAACCCATTCCACTCCGTGCCTTACCGCACCAACCTACGAGCTTTTATCCCCGGCCCTCCAGCCGCAACCTATTGCACCTTCACTGATCTCTTTCCGCTGCTACACTGACTGCACAACCTTACCCTGACTATGATAATCATCCTACTGTGTTTCGAAACTTTGTTGGCGATTACCAAACCAGTACCGTTTCACCTCACCTCTCATAAAACGACTAAAATTTCTACGCGCCCATCATAACGTCTTAACTCCTTTTTTTACTATCTTTCACTTTAAGAAAATACTCTTTGAATAAAATAATTCTCAACTCACAGTCAATTAACTTGGCGAAATAATGTTTAATGACATTAGTTACACCTTCCTTAATTTAACACTAAACATTTAAATTGACCTCTACAGGCACCCTTTATCCGACACTCGAAATCACAGCAACTTACAGTCTTCTAACCGGTCACGGTCCATGCTTACATCTAACTGCTTATATAAAACAGAGGTTACAAAACATTAACATACAACATATTTTATGATATTTGATGATATCGATAATATTATAAAACAATATTAAACAAACAAATTCGATTTTAAAATTCATTATATGCTCCTATACAAACAATTTGTATGTAATAGCTGCCGCGCATCAGCTTAATAATTATTAACATTTGCTCTACACATTTCAATTGGGCAATTCACAAGGTGTTGTGAAGTTATATTTTCCTAACAAAAGTTGTGTTAAAACACGACGGTTGTGAACACCTGTTACGATTACACTGGTCTACAAATTTCAACTTTTTTTCTGCGAATAAGACGGGACCTGGTGTTTCTGAACGGATTTTTCGTGCTGAACACGAATCCGGGGTCAAAAATGTCCCATCACGTCACGTTTTCGAGAAAAAAGGGGTTGAAACCCCTAAAAACAGCGTTTTTGGCCATTTTCGAAAAATTATAGAGCTGAACCCTGTCGTGGTACAAATTTTGCATATATCAGAAATTAAAGGCTAAACCGTGCCCTTTCGAATGAGCCCTATGCCGAATTGATCGCGTGCACCCTTAAAGCAGGGGGTGTATTTGTGTTTAGGGGTGCAGGAAAAATTGATCACAGAAAGAATTTAATCTTAAACGATCATAGAAAATTAATAATGCCAAGGTTTTAACTATATTAAAAGTCGCTGATTACGAATCTGCAGTTAGATTTTAAAAATTTAAGATGACGGGTCGAATATGGTGGATATAAAAATTGGACTCCTAGACACAAATACACCCCCTGATCTAAGGGTGCATGCGATTAATTCGGCATAGGGCTCATTCGAAAGGGCACGATTTAGCCTTTAATTTCTGACATATACAAAGTTCGTAGCACGTCAGGGTTCAGCTCTACAATTTTTCAAAAATGGCCAAAAACGCTGTTTTTAGGGGTTTCAACCCCTTTTTTCTCGAAAACGTGACGTGATGGGAAGTTTTGGACCCCAGATTCGTGTTCAGCACGAAAAATCCGTTCGGAAACACCAGGTCCCGTCTTATTCGCAAAACCCTTGTAGACCAGTGTTATTTATTATATCTCAGCACTTAACCTCACATAACACCGAATAAACATAGGTTGCAGAGTTGTATCGTCATGTGTTATTTTTCTTCACAAAACAATAACAACATTTTTACAACAGTCATGAAATATCATGACTTCACGACAAACACGACAAATACGACACCTTGTGAATTGCTCAAATAACTTCTATTATGGTGAATACCTGACTACCAACTTTCTTATTGGAAAATCTTTTGCTTTGTTCTATACTCTCATTTCCATTCTACTCACAGAAAGTACAGAGCTTTATATTTCACAACGTATTTCTACGCATCTGCCTTAAAACATCCCTCGCTGCTGTCTGTTAACTTTGTTGTTGCTTGTTAATGTCCCTCGACGCCGTCAGTTTGGCAATTTCGCTGCTGTAGTTTAACGCTGACTTCACTCTTGTAGGTTACCGCTGACGGCGCTGCCTGGCTCTGGCGCCCTTGTTGCTTGCGCTATGATACAGCACTTAATTGTCGATGCCGATGTCTGTCTGCGTGTCGCCTTTGACGCCCAACGCTCGCTGTGTAGATATGTACTTTGTTGAGTACCGCTATCTGCACTTGCCCAATGCTTAATTGTCGCTACTATATCGGCTCTATGGTCGCAAGTGTACAAGTTTTTCATTGCGCATATGAACAACGGGTTGTTGCGGTACCCGAGCAGCAACAAAATTTCCAACGCACGGCGCATGGATCGGACCACTTAAGTAACGGTTGAAGTTCCGTAAGGTCGGTGTTATGCAGACAAACTTTTGTTTGCCAAATTAAATGGCGGCTGCTTAGTTTGCTCGGAGGTGGTTATGTCGAGTTTGGCACAGGGTTGCACGTTCATTATGGTTTTCTTGGTATTGCCAACACGAAATGAGAATTTCAGATGTACATAACGCGCAAAATTTAAAATTTTTGTATATGATAACACCGAATTTGCTGCAGTTTGACCAAACAAAATTAGTTTGCTGTGAGAGTCGCCAAACTCGCTCTCTCCGAGTTTGCTGCAACAACAATTGCACGCAGTTTGCCAAACAAAATTTCTGCATAACACCGACCTTACTTCTCAGCACATAAAATATTTTTACAAAACCTTATGAAACGTTTTTCTCGCCAGTTTTATACATACACAAATGTTCATTTAATGACGAATATTCGTATATGCACATGCGTACTTAACAATGTTCATAGTTCACAATTTCAGCTAAATTTCGCAGCTTTTCTCCAGCGTTCGCTGCCACTAAGTTCAATCTGTAGGCCATCATAATTATTTTGCAGGCACGCGTATGCAAAAAAAAGTCACTTTACACGCATGGAATTCCGATTCCATTTCTGACACCACTTGTAGGAATGGCCTTCCCGTTTCATCCTCTTCGTGTACAAAAACGCGGCTATTTAGTTTAATAATTTAATATTACATACTGTTTATTTAACAAACGCACATATTACAATTCAACAACTTAACATTAGCAGAACATTGTTCTGCGCTTGATGGCGGCTGACAATGCAATGTCCAGTCTGATCTGTTCGTATC